GGGGACACACCTGGGGATACCTGGGGACTCACCTGGGGACTGCTGGGGACTCACCTGGGGGCACCTGGGGAGTGGGGACACACCTGGGGATACCTGGGGACTCACCTGGGGGCACCTGGGGACTCACCTGGGCACACCTGGGGAGTGGGGATACACCTGGGGATATGTGGGTGCACCTGGGGAGCACTCACCTGGGCACACACCTGTGCACACACCTGGGCACTCACCTGGGCACTCACCTGGGCACACCTGTGCACACACCTGGGCACTCACCTGGGCACTCACCTGGACACTCACCTGGGCACACCTTGGCACTCACCTGGGCACACACCTGGGCACACACCTGGGCACTCACCTGGGCAGCCCTGGGCACATACCTGGGCACTCACCTGTGCACACCTGGGCACTCACCTGGGCACACCTGTGCACTCACCTGGGCTCTCACCTGGGCACACCTGTGCACACACCTGGGCACTCACCTGGGCACTCACCTGGACACTCACCTGGGCACACCTTGGCACTCACCTGGGCACACACCTGTGCACACACCTGGGCACTCACCTGGGCACTCACCTGGGCACACCTGTGCACACACCTGGGCACACACCTGTGCACACCTGGGCACACCTGGCGCTCACCTGTGCTCACCTGTGCAGATCCACACCTGGGTGTCGGAGGGCCCCAGCGAGGCGCAGGCCGTGTGCGTGAACTGCCAGAACAACAGCGTGGGGGACAGGTGTGACACCTGCCGGGCGGGGTTCTTCCTGCTGGACGGCACCTGCACCAGGTGAGACACCTGGGACACCTGGGGGGGACAGGTGAGACACCTGGGGACACCTGGGACAGGTCGGCACCTGCACCAGGTGAGACACCTGGGACACCTGGGACAGGTGGGACACCTGGGAGGGACACCTGGGACAGGTGAGACACCTGGGGAGGGACACCTGGGAGGGACACCTGGGACACCTGGGACGGTGGGACACCTGGGACACCTGGGAGGGGACAGGTGAGACACCTGGGACAGGTGTGGTGTCACCTGGGACACCTGGGGAGGGACAGGTGTGTTGTCACCTGTGCCAGGTGAGTCTGACAGCTGCACTGAGTCTGTTACCTGTGCCAGGTGAGCTGGGCACACCTGGGGATGCAGAAAAAAAAAGAGAAAGTTGGGAAAAAATTGAGAAAAAATTGGGAAAAATGATGAAAAAATGGAGAAAAAAATTGGGAAAAATTGGGGAAAATTTGGGAAATTTTGGGAAATTTTGGGAAAAATAGGGCAAAGGGGATTTATCTGTGCCAGGTGAGCTGGGCACACCTGGGGATGCAGAAAAAAAGGAGAAAGTTGGGAAAAAATTGAGAAAAAATTGGGAAAAATGATGAAAAAATTGAGAAAAAATCTGGAAAAATGATGAAAAAATTGGGAAAAATTTGGGAAGATTTGGGAAAATTTGGGGGAAATGTGGGCAGAGCGGGGGAGGGGCCGGGCGCGTCTGAGGCGCGCTCACCTGCCCGCAGGTGCCAGTGCAACGGGCACGCCGACACCTGCAACGAGCTGGACGGCACCGGCTGCCCCTGCCAGAACAACACCGAGAGCGGCGCCTGCCCCGAGCGGCGCGACTGCCACCGGCACCAGGTACCGCACCTGGGCACACCCAAAATACACACCTGAACACACCTGGGGGCACCTGGGCACACCCAAAATACACACCCGGGCACACCTGGGGGCACCTGGGCACACCCAAAATACACACCCGGGCACACCTGGGGGCACCTGGGCACACCCAAAATACACACCCGGGCACACCTGGGGGCACCTGGGCACACCTGGGCACACCCGGGCACACCCGGGCACACCTGGGGGGCCCGAAATACACCCGGGCACATTTGGGCACACCCGGGCACACCTGGGCACACCCAGGCACACCTGGGCACACGCGGGCACACCTGGGCACACCCGGGCACACCTGAAATACACCTGGGCACACCTGGGCACACCTGAAATACACCTGGGCACACCTGAAATACACCTGGGCACACCCGGGCACACCTGGGCACACCCAAAATACACACCTGGGCACACCCGGGCACACCTGGGCACACCCAAAATACACACCTGGGCACACCCGGGCACGCCCGGGCACACCTGGGCACACCTGGGCACACCCGGGCACACCTGAAATACACCTGGGCACACCCGGGCACACCTGGGCACACCCAAAATACACACCTGGGCACACCCGGGCACACCTGGGCACACCCGAGCACACGTGGGCACACCCGGGCACTCCCGGGCACACCTGGGGGCCCGAAATACACCTGGGGGGCCCGAAATATACCGGGCACACCTGGGCACACCCGGGCACACCTGGGCACACCTGGGGGTGCCAGAAATACACCTGGGGGGGCTGGAAATACACCTGGGGGGGCCAGAAGTACACCTGGGGACACCTGGGGGAGACAGAAATACACCTGGGGGGGGCGGAAGTACACCCGGGCACACCTGGGCACACCTGGGGATGCCCAAAATACACCTGGGGGGGCCCGTGTCCCGAATCCACAATCCATTCCAGAACCTTCTCCAGGGGGTTCTGGTGGGAACGTGGGGATGGAACACACCTGGTTCCTGGACATTCTGGTGCCTCCAGAACCTCTTTTATTCCACTCTCAATGACCTCAGTGACCTCCATGACCCTGACCATGACACTCTGATGTCCCCTAAGTGTCCCCAAGTACCAGAACCTTCTCCAGGGGGTTCTGGTGGGGACGTGGGGATGGAACCCACCACGCTCCTCGATGTCCTGGTGCCTCGAGAACCTCTTCTATTCCACTCTCAATGACCTCAGTGCCCCTGACCATGACACCCCCGCTGTCCCCGCAGTGCTCCAGGTGCCAGAACCTTCTCCAGGGGGTTCTGGTGGGAACGTGGGGATGGAACACACCTGGTTCCTGGACATTCTAGGGCCACCAGAACCTTTTTTATTCCACTCTCAATGACTTCAGTGACCTCCATGCCCCTGACCACGCCATCTTCGGTGTCGCTAATCCACAATCCATTCCAGAACCTTCTCCAGGGGGTTCTGGTGGGGATGTGGGGATGGGACCCACCACGTTCCTGGACATTCTGGTGCCACCAAAACCTGTTTTATTCCACTCAATGACCTCAGTGCCCCTGACCACGCCACCCCCGCTGTCCCCTAAGTGTCCCCAGGTGCCAGAACCTTCTCCAGGGGGTTCTGGTGGGGATGTGGGGATGGAACCCACCACGTTCCTCAGCGTTCTAGGGCCACCAGAACGTTTTTTATTCCACTCTCAATGACCTCAGTGAGCTCCATGACCCTGACCATGACATCGTTGGTGTCCCTCGATGTCCCCTAAGTGTCCCCAAGTGCCAGAACCTTCTCCAGGGGGTTCTGGTGGGGATGTGGGGATGGAACCCACCGCGTTCCTCAGCGTTCTAGGGCCACCAGAACCTTTTTTATTCTGCTCTCAATGACCTCAGTGACCCTGACCATGACACTCTGATGTCCCCTAAGTGTCCCCAGGTGCCAGAACCTTCTCCAGGGGGTTCTGGTGGGGACGTGGGGATGGAACCCACCACGTTCCTCAATGTCCTGGTGCCTCCAGAACCTGTTTTATTCCACTCTCAATGACCTCAGTGCCCCTGACCACGCCACCCCCGCTGTCCCCGCAGTGCTCCAAGTGCCGCGACTCCTTCCAGGGCCACCCGGTGGGCGGGCAGCAGTGCTACCGGCTGCTGGCGGTGGAGCAGGAGTACTGCCTGGACGCGGCGTCGCAGAGCCACTGCTTCCCGCCGCCGCAGCGCCGCCCGCTGCCGCCCGGCCGCTCCGTGCCCTTCGCCGTGCAGCCCAAGTTCACCAACGTGGACATCCGCGTCACGCTGGACGTCACCTTCGGCGCCGTGGACCTCTACGTGGCCACCTCCTACGACACCTTCGCCGTGGACGTGGAGCTGGGCACGGGCTGGCACCGCGTCAGGGTGCAGGCGCCCGGCGGGGCGGGGGGCGGCGGCGCCTCGGGGACATTCGGGGCTCAGGGCGGCGGTGGCACCTTCGGCACGGCTGGTGGCACCTTGAGGGGCTTCGGGGCTGGCTCTGGGGGATTCGGGGTCGGAGGAGCCGGCGGTGACAACTTTGGGACCGGTGGTGGCACCTCTGGGGCCGGTGGTGGCACCTTTGGGACTTCTTGGAGCGGTTCTGGGAGCTTTGGGGCTGGAGGAACTGGTGGTGGCACCTTTGAGACCAGTGGTGGCACCTTTGGGACCGGTGGTGGCACTTTTGGGACCGGTGGCACTGGTGGTGACACCTTGAGGACCTTCGGGACTGGTGGTGGCACCTTTGGGACCGGTGGAACTGGTGGTGGCACCTTTGGGACCGGTGGTGGCACCTTTGGGACCGGTGGAACCGGTGGTGACACCTTGAGGACCTTCGGGTCCGGTGGTGACACCTTTGGGACCGGAGGTGGCACTTTGGGGACTTCCTGGACTGGTTCTGGGACCGGTGGCACCGGCGCTGGTGACACTTTTGGGACCAGTTCTGGCACTTTTGGGACCGGTGGCACCGGCGGTGGCACCTTGAGAACGTCAGGAGCCGCCGGGGACGCCTCTGGGACCTTCGGTGGCACTTTTGGCACCTCTTGGACCGGTGGCCCTGGGGCTGGTCCCACTGGTCAAACCGGCCTTACTGGTTTCACCGGTGGCCCCAGAAGTTCTGGAGGGGCCGGAGCCACTCCCAGTGGCCAAACTGGGCGCACTGGTGGCCCTGGAGGTCCCAGAGGGGATTTTGGTGGTCAAACTGGTGAGCCCGGAGCTTCTGGTGGTCCAGGAGCCAACCCCGGTGGCCAAACTGGTCACACTGGTCACACTGGTGACCCCAGACCTTTTGGTAGCCCCCAGGCCCACTCCAGTGGCCATACTGGTCACACTGGTTTTACTGGTCACACTGGTCAATCCGATGACCCCCGAGCTTTTGGTAGCCCTCAGGCCCACTCCAGTGGCCAAACCGGTTTTACTGGTCACACTGGTCAAGCTGGTGACCCCAGACCTTTTGGTAGCCCCCAGGCCCACTCCAGTGGCCATACTGGTCACACTGGTTTTACTGGTCACTCCGATGACCCCCAAGCTTTTGATAGCCCTCAGGCCCAGTCCAGTGGCCAAACTGGTCATACTGGTTTTACTGGTCACACTGGTTTTACTGGTCACTCCAATGACCCCCGAGCTTTCGGTAGTCCCCAGACCCACTCCAGTGGCCAAACTGGTTTTACTGGTCACACTGGTCACTCCGATGACCCCCGAGCTTTCGGCAACCCCCAGACCCACTCCAGTGGCCAAACTGGTTTTACTGGTCACTCCGATGACCCCCGAGCTTTCGGTAGCCCCCAGGCCCAGTCCAGTGGCCAAACTGGTCATACTGGTTTTACTGGTCACACTGGTTTTACTGGTCAATCCGATGACCCCAGACCTTTCGGCAGCCCCCAGACCCACTCCAGTGGCCAAACTGGTTTTACTGGTCAATCCGATGACCCCAGACCTTTCGGCAACCCCCAGACCCACTCCAGTGGCCAGACCCCCAAGCCCCCCGCCCAGCCCTCGCCCAGCCCGGGTCCCCCTCCCCTCGTGGAGGAGCGCGCCCAGGGCTTGGTCACCTACCTGACCGTCGGCCACCCCGTGCCCGCCCTGGTGGTCCGGGGGGTCCGCGACCGCCTGGTGCTCACCTACCCCCACCAGGCCCACCCCCTGAAGTCCACGCGGTTTTACCTGCTGGTGGTGGGCGGCGCGGAGCCCTCGCAGGGGCTGCTCTTCTTCCGGCAGGACCAAGCGCACATCGACCTCTTCGTCTTCTTCTCGGTCTTCTTCTCCTGCTTCTTCCTCTTCCTGGCCGCCTGCGTGCTGCTCTGGAAGGCCAAGCAGGGCCTGGACGCGCGGCACGAGCGGCGCCGGCACCGCCAGGAGATGTCCAAGATGGCGGCCAGGCCCTTCGCCAGGGTCACCGTGTGCTTCCAGCACTGCGGCCACCGGGAGCGGCCGCTCGGGGCTGCGGGGGGCGGCTGCCAGAACCCCGGCGGTGGCTATCAAAATCCTGGGGGTGGCTATCAAAATCCTGGGGTTGGCTATCAAAATTCTGGGGTTGGCTACCAAAATCCTGGGGTTGGCTACCAAAATTCTGGAGGTGGCTACCAAAATTCTGGGGGTGGCTATCAAAATTCTGGAGGTGGCTATCAAAATCCTGGGGGTGGCTATCAAAATCCTGGGGTTGGCTACCAGAATTCTGGGGCTGGTTATCAAAATTCTAGGGTTGGCTACCAAAATACCGGGGTTGGCTACCAGAATTCTGGAGGTGGCTATCAAAATTCTGGGGGTGGCTACCAAAATTCTGGAGGTGGGGAGAGGAATTTGGGGTTGGGCAAGCACAACAAGGGGTTGGGCTACCAGGATTTGGGGGCGGGCAACCAGAATTTGGGGGGTGGGGAGAGGAATTTGGGGGCGGGCAAGCAAAATAGGGCGGTGGGCTACCAAGATTTGGGGTCAGCAGAGAGAAATTTGGGGTTGGGCCAGCAAAATTTGAGGCTTGGCCACCAAGATTTGGAGCCGGGCCACCAAAATCTGCAGCCGAGCGGCCGAAATTCCCCGGCGGAGCCGCGGGAGCCCCAAAATTCCCCCGCGGAGCCCCAAAATCCTCACGTGGGCCACCAGAATCCTGCCTCGGGTGGCCCAAATTCCCAAGCCCCACCTTGGAACCCCCAAAATTGCCCTTTGGACCCCCAAAATCCTCGTTTGGGCCACCAAACGTCACCTTCGGACCCCCAAAATCGTCATTTTGGCCACCAAACGTCACCTTTGGACCCCAAAACTTCACCTCCGGACCCCCAAAATCCACGTTTTGGCCACCAAACGTCACCTCCGGACCCCCAAAATTCCCCTCTGGACCCCCAAAATCCCCGCTTTGGCCACCAAACGTCACCTCCGGACCCCCAAAATTCCCCTCTGGACCCCCAAAA